GTTTTGATTGATTTGTTTTATTGTGCTTCCACAGCCTGCCTCTGGCTCCCTCCATAAAGACAAACCACTGCCAGTACCTCCCACACTTCGAGATCTTCCACCACCACCCCCTCCAGACCGGCCTTACTCCGTTGGAGCAGAAACCCGGCCTCAGAGACGGCCCCTGCCTTGTACACCAGGCGATTGTCCATCTAGGGACAAACTACCCCCTGTCCCCTCTAGCCGTGTTGTTGGGGACTCATGGCTGCCCCGGCCAATCCCGAAAGTACCAATTGCTGCCCCAAGTTCCAATGACCCTTGGACAGGAAGAGAGTTAACCAACCGACACTCACTTCCTTTTTCATTGCCCTCACAAATGGATCCCAGAGCAGAGGTGCCTAGGCTGGGAAGCACATTCAGTCTGGATACCTCCATGGTGAGTCCTAATTTTGAAATTATTCGGCCTAGTAGCAATGGTTTGTAGATGCTTTTGTACAGAATTCAGAAATAATGTAATCCTTACCCTCAAGAAGTATATATGTTAATAGAGCAGAAGAGGCAGTTGGTAAACGTTGGAGTAAATGTCCTTTTATAAACATCATATGTAATATAACTGGCAAAGGCTTAAGAGAAAGGAGAGTTTATTCCCAGATACAACATAAAGACTTGTGAAAGGAGCGACACCTGGATCTAAAGTGTTCTTTGGAAAGTAGATCCAGTTTTAAGATAAGAGCCACAGTGATAACAACGCATAAAGCGTATTTGTGGAGTTAGGAGTAGGTTAATTTGAGTAGAGCAGAAATTTTGTTTATCTGAGTAGAAGAAGGGGCTAGAAAGGAACATAAAACACCAGGTGAGAGGGAACTTGAATACTCCTTCCTAAATAATTTAAGTTTGTATGGAACATTTGAGGATTTTAAATTAGTAAAGTGATGTGACCAAAACAGTGGATTCAAAGGGATGAATCTCCTCATGGAATGCAGGATACACTGGAAGGAGAACAGCTGGAAGAAAGGTGATTGATCCTCTGTCTAAGCATGAGATAAGGGGTCTAGAACATGGGGGTGGCGGAGGAATATTTGTTCTTTTCTTGGTTCATTTATGCACTCAACAAAAAATCTTGCCATCACAAAGTTTATATTCTAGTGGGAGGAAGATGGAAAATTAATAACTGAATAAAATACATAATATGTTCACCATGATGACAGCTGTGGAGAAAACTAGCTCAAAGAGTGGGTATGGGGAGAGAGAGAGTTGGGGTGGGAGGTACGTGAGGGGATGGGGTGTAATTCTGAACAGACACCTGAAGCAGTAGGGAGAGAGCCATGCTGATCGAGGGGGAGACCATTCCAGGTCACAGGGAAAGTGAGTGAGTTTGGAAGAGGCAGGAATAACAAAGGGGGTTAGTGTATCTCTCTGGTGCTAAATGAGCAAGAGGGAGAAACATCATTTATGAGCAAAGTCTTTAGAAAGGATGAGACAAAGACTTGTTAGGGTTTGAAAGTAGTCAGTGGGTGGGGGAAAAAGATGAGAATCTGGCTCAGATGTGCCCAATAAGATGTGTACACACATAAGAAAATCCTGAGGTTTTGAGCCTGGCTATCTAGGAATATGTTGACTTTGAGATGAGCAATTGATGGGAGAATTGGCAAGTAGGTAGTTGGAGAGCTGAGAAGGTAGAGTGGGAAGGTGACATTGAGAAGTATTGCAGCACTCGAATGAATGGCATGTTTCTTGGTTACAGGGAAAAAGAGAGGGTAACGTTTAAGTGGCATCTTTGTGATGGGCAGTCTAATTAGTGAGGGTAGATTGGGTTTGACTTTCTGGTGGCATCAATGTAGAATGCCCATTTTTTATTTGAGTGTCAATTACTTAAATTAGAAATGGTGTATGTATAGACAGCAAGTTTACTCCAGTCTGTCTGGGATGAAATGCAAAAAGCCATCCTTTGATTCTTTCTACTTTTCTATTTCCCTAACCTTTGAATATTCTTCAGAGCCTGAAAGCAACTGGGCTTTTGTCAGATCTGATAACTCCTAGGCATGGCATTGACAGTGAGGTCTGTGTCCCTGTTATTGTTGTAAGAGGAGATACTTAGCTGTGAAAGGTTCTTCTTCAATGCTTTTCTTTACTTTCCAGAGTATCAGTAACAGCCCATTAACAGGCCCAGATTGTGAGCACCCCAAAATCAAACCTTCCTCATCTGCTAATGCCATCTATTCTCTGGCTGCCAGGTAAGTTTACTAAAGCTACATTTTATACAGTGGACTTGGTACTTGTAAACCGATTACAGGAAGAAAGTTTAGAAAACCTGGGGAAGTGTAAAGACGTAAATAAAAATTGATCTGTATTTGCATCATGGAGAAGTGATCATATTTTGTATTTTGGAATATTTTCTCCCTTTTTTCTGTGTAGATGTACATGGATTGGTCTTGCTGGGGCTTCTCAGTTTCACTAATCTTTTCAAAGAAGCAAATTTGGTTTTGTTGGGGTTTTTAAACAATTCATATTTAGTATCTGCCCTCTGTTTCATTGCTCTGTGCTCTGTATTCTTTCAGCTTTCTTTAGGTTTCATTTGCTGTTTTTCTGGCTTCTTGAAATAGACATGGGCTTGGGCTGACATAGGAAATAACCAGGATTGGACAGTTTAACTGTGGAAATTAATTTTCTCACAGTTCTGGAGGCTGGAGAAGTCTGAGGTCAGGGTCCTCTCCTGGCTGGCCTCTGGTGAAGGCTTTCTTCTTGCCTTCTCCTTGAACTGTGTCCTTACATGGTCTTCCTTGGAGTGTGCATGGGGAGAGAGTGAGTCAGTGTGAACACAGACTCTCAGGCATCTGTTCTTATAAGGACACCAATCCTGTAGGATCAGGGTCCCATCCTACAGCTTCATCCAACCTTAATTACCTTCTTAGAGGCTCCATCTCCAAGTATAGCCACCTCTCAGTATATTCAGGAATTGATTGCAGGACCCCCTTATCTACCAAAATCCATATATAATCCTGAAGTCAGCCCTGTGGAACCAGAAAATGTGAAAAGCTGGCCTTTCCTGTACTCTAGTTGGGATCCCTCAAATACTGTGTTTTCTGTCTGCATTTGGTTACTGATGTGGAGCTTGTGGATATAGGGGGCTGACTTTGTTCATTAAAAACAGTCCACCTATAAGTGGCCCCACACAGTTGAAACCCATGTTGTTCAAGGGTTAGCTGTACAGCCACACTGGAGGTAAGAGCTTTTATATTTGCATTGAGGGGGGCACACAACATTTGGTCCATATCAGATGTTTAGCTGTGTTCCTCAAATTTTACTGTGCTATGTTTTTAATAATCATTCGTTTAAAAATACACGCTTTTTCTATTTGTAATTTTGTCATTGATTCATGAGCTATTTGTGTATTGCCTGATTTCCACACATTTGAAGATCCTCTAAGTTATCTTTCTGTTTTATGGCTTCATTCCAGTTGTGATCAGAAACCATAGTCTTTATTGACTAGTTTAAGGTAAAATCTAGTCGATGTGTCCCACTTACATTTCATAAGAATGTGTATTTTGCATTTGTTGGGTATAGCATTCTATACATGCCAATGAGGTCAAGTTTTTCATTTGTGTTATATCTTGTCTCCCCTATTTTTTAATCTACTTGTTCTGTGAGATAACCGAGAGGAGTATGTTAAATTCTCCACCTATAACTGGGTTTCTGTTTTGTTCTTTTAGTTCTGTTCATTTGTGTGATAGGTGTATGTAGCCTGTACAGTTAGGTTACATAGATGTTTAGAATTACTGGTATTAAATGGTAAGAGTTTTTATTATCACAGGTAAGATATTGCCAGTAGTATGACTGGTATTAAATGGTAGGAGTTTTTATTACATTTACTCTGTAATTCCACTTCTTACCTGCCTTTGGTCTGCTTTGTTGTGTGTTAAAATGGCTATATCAGCTGTCTTTTAGTCAGTATTTGTATATTTTCAACTTTTCCTTGCTTTGTAGTCAAGGTAAGTCTCTCAAAAGCAGGATATATGTGTTGGGCTTTTGGTGTTTTTTGTTATATTTTGTTTGAGACAGATTCTCACTCTTTTGCCATGGGTAGAGTGCTACAGCTTCATAGCTCACAGCAACCTCAAACTCTTGGGCTTAAGCAATCCTCTTTCCTCTGGCTAGGACTACAGGTGCCCACCACAATGCCTGGCTAATTTTTCTATTTTTAGTAGAGACAGGGGTCTCACTGTTGCTCAGGCTGGTCTCAAACTCCTAAGCTCAGGCATTCTACCAGCTTGGGCCTCTCAGAGTGCTAGGATTACAGGCGTGAGCCACCATACCTGGCAAGTTTTGGGGTTGTTTTGTTGAGACGGAGTCTTGCTCTGTCACCCAAGCTTGAGTACAGTGGCACGATCATAGCTCACTGTAACCTTGAACGCCTTGTGCCAACAATCATCCTTATTCAGCCTCCTGAGTATCTAGGACTACAGGCACACACTAACATGCCAGGCTGATTTTTTTGCTTTTGTTGTTTGTTGTTGTTGCTCAGGCAGGTGTCAAAACTCCTGGCCTCAATCAGTCCTCCCACCACAGCCTTCCAAAGTGCTGAGGTAACAGGTGTGAGCCACTATGCTTGGCCTTGGTGGTGTTTGTTTTATTTTGTTTTTCTTCTTAAATCCATTTTGGCAGTCTTTTTTTTTTTTGCACTTTATACCCTTTTTTTAAATAACTCGACATTGTATCTCCTAACATTAAAAAGAAAAAAGCACGAAAACTACCATGTACACATATATTAACGGACACACAGCATATACAGCAATAATTCTGACATCAGTAACAAAAACAGTGAAGATGTAGCAAAGTAGTTTTTTCAGGTTATGGAAATTAAGTTATCAGATTAATCAATTACGTTGTTTTTAAGATGCTTAATACACTTCCCCCCCAGATTATCTACAACATATACACAAAAATAAAAAGGAAGTAAAAGAACATCTCTAGAAGCGAGCAACAAGGCAGAAAAGAAGGCAGGAAGTGGAAAATAAGGAATAAAAAATCCTGCAGGAAGTACAGATAGTACGCATCAAAAATGCAAACCTACAGCTTTCTCCATCAATAATACTTGACTTGTTAATGACAAACTCAGCACTCAGAAGACACAGATTGGCTGAATAAACAGGATCCAAAGTATACTCACCTTAGCTGTAAGGACATACATAGGTTGAGATTGAAAACAAAAAAGCTATTTCACACTCTGGGAGGCCAAGGCAAGAGGATGGCTTGCGCTCAGGAGTTTGAAACCAGCCTGAGCAAGAAAAGCGAGACCCTGTCTCTACTAAAAAAAAAA